GCCCGGGGCGGGGTTGCTCGCACAGCGTTGGCTCTGTTGCCTTTGGCTCTTGGCCCAGGCAGCAGAGGCTGGGAGGTGGGTGCATGTCCTAAACCTCTCCTGGACTGCAGGCGCTCCCGGTCGCTGCCCTTCCTAAACCGAACTTGCGATCCTACAGCTACAGCCTGGGCCATCCCCAAACCTGTCCCCTGCTGCAGTCAAACCCGCAGCCAGAGAGGCGGCAGGGTCGTCCCCGCTCTGGGCTGTGCCCACCCGAGGCAGAGGCGAGGGGTACGGGTCTGGGCTCTTGGCCGTGGCACCGGGGACACAGAGAGGGCTCCCGCTGCTCCTTGGCAGCTGCACCGGAGCTGGCATGGCGAGCGCGGAGCAGCCCCAGGTGCTGCACGCCTGGGAGAGGTGCAGGGCAGCACGGGCTGTGCTGTTGCTGTTTGGCTTGGGCTGTAAAGCGAGTTAATGAGTAACTGGCTGAACGCTGAGCTGTGGCAAAGGAGCAGGAGGAACAGCTGCCTTGGAGCCAGGGAAAACCCCATGCAGGAGGGCTGCTTTGTCCCACCAGGGCTGTAGGGCTGGATTTGGGACTGCAAGGGTCCCTATACATGGACTCATCCCATGGGAGCACGCAGCACTTCTGCATGCCCTGCCACACTGCAGCAGTGGCCAGACTGCTGACCCTGCCAGAGGCTATGATGGTATTTAATTGCTTCTCGTAGAATCATGTCCATTTAATCCATGTGGCAAGAAAACTTCCCTTAAAAGAGGTTTCTTAGCTAAGAACGTACCCTAATCTGAAAGTGAGGGTGCTATGCATAAAATAGCAGTTGTTTCCATCTCTGTCATTTGCCCCACTGGTAGACATGAAGGCTCAAGGCCACGTCCAGTACGCATCCAGAACCTGCCTTGGTCCTGAGGCCTTCCCCATCCTAGAGGAAGAGGCAAAAACAAAAGTGCCTTTTAAAAAAACCCGCAAACAACAGGCCCTCTGTGGCATTCACCGCTGCCTGGGAAAGGTCCGAGACCAAATATCGCATGGCAGATGCTGTTCCTAGCTGTACAACATGGAATGAGCCTGAGAGAAGGCCTCCATAGAGCAGTCCTGGCTCTGTGGATGGACTGATGCCTCGTAGGTGGATCTAGTAGGTGGATCCAGTCTGACTCAGTTCTGGGGATCAACACTTCATCTGTCTGTACCATGTGTTTGCTGCCTCTTCTTGATGAAGCCTGAGCTCCACCGGCTGTTGCTTTGCAAAGCCGACCCATCCTCACTGAGCCTCTGATAACGCTGAAGCCATCCTCTGCCTCCCTCCGACATGCTTCCCGCAGGGAACCCAGTGTGAACGGAGACGCTTTGCATGTGGGCCTCTTGCTGCTTCCTGAGCTCGCTGACTGCCGCCTCTGCTGCAGTTCTGCTGCCTACGGCCCCCGAGTGGGCCCAGCCGTCGGCATGGGCATGGAACCAGATGAGACTGCAGATCTGGAACAGCACGAGCAATGGGAGCAGGAGCCCTGGCTGTGCAGGCCTGTAGCGACCACGGCGTCCCCATCCACCGTGGGGATCGCGGCTGAGGCAGCCTCTGTGGTGCCACAGAGACACACGACGGTGGCTTGGATGGGAGAGGAGACACTTCTGCGGAGCTCTGGGGCAGTGGAGGCTGCAGTACACTGGAAACAGAGCAGGGGAGGATCCCTTGCTAAGCATCTGCACCCTGGCGCTGACCTGTGTCTCCTCTCTCTCCCAGCCTTGGCATGGGGAGGGTGCTGGCAGGCTGGAGTAGTTGGGGCTCCATTCCTGGAAGACACCTCCAGATCCCACTGGGATAGCACGGACCAGCAGCCGTTCCCCGTGAGACCATGCCTGTTCTCATCTCTTGTCCCTGAGAGCATCCCCGTC